CACTTCTGATTGCTGACACCCAAGCTGCCTGCTGGAAAGGCACAAAAGCTTTGCTACAATATCTTTTTTTTTTTTTTCCTGGTACCGGGAATTGAACTCATGACCTCGTGCTTGCCATGCAGGCACTCTGCTGCTAAGCTAAACCCCCAGCCCCTTACAATATCTTGCACAAACTGGTTACAAGAAAAACAAACTTCCCAACTTTCTTGGAGCTGCTTGCTTCTATTAGACTGGCAGTCCCTGGGAATGCCCAGTGGCCTACCTGTACAAATGCTTGGATCCAGTCACTAAGGGCTGCATCTTCCCTTTGCCTTCATACTCTAACAGCCACTGTCTTGCTGATCAAGAAAGCTGACGAAACTATTTTGGCCAAAACTGTCCTGCAGGGATGATCTGCACAGCAAACTGCTTCCTGCTGCTGTTTGGAAACCTGCCAGCAATGACACAGAGTAATCTGGTTCAGAAGCCTAAGCCCCCTCTGGGAATCCGGTCGACTGAAACATCAACCCCAACCACTGTATACTCTACAAGGTCAAGCTGCTGTAGTGGCGCCCATAACCCTGCAGCCAGCTAAGGCTTCCGCATCTGTGTCAATGGCTCCAACCTCCCATTCCCAACTTATACTAAAAAGACAATAAAAGTTTGTAGGATCCAGCTGTAAAAAATCATCCCTAGTATGGCCCACCCTTGATCACTGGCAGCAGTAACAGGCCTACATTTGTAGTAGCGGTAACTAAAAAGCTAGATTTAATAAAAACTAATTACAGCATACTACAAGGCTCTAGAGAAGTTTTTTAAAAAACCAGCTTGCAACCAGTTAAAAGATCAGCTATATCTGTACACATTCCTGTATACATATAACCCAGGTACATATAAACTACCTCTGCAAGTTTCAGAAATCCATCCTTAAATTTGCTGGAGAATTTACCTGGACAGCTCCTCTGAGGCTTCCTCTGAAGAGACAAAGCACTCAAAGCCCTGGATGCTGACCAGTCCAGACACAGCTAAAGCCTGAGGACATCATACACAGGATTGCTCCATACCTATTCTCCTTGATTTTTGTGTCTTTTAGGCCACTTACCCCAATCCTTGCTCCTTTTTTTTTTTTTTGCCTTAAACTCTAAGGATGGTTGCCGCAAGAGAATAATCAAACACTTACCCAAGATTTGACGAGTGTCCAAGACACACTGGACACTCCCCTAGATCAGATTAACTCTCTCATTACGTTGCCAGAGAAATGTTATAGAATTGACAGGTCCAAATTGTGTCTCTTCCTAAAAACAATTTAGGAAAAAACTCTGTAATAAGACAGTCTTGGAGAACTTGGCTAGGGCCCATCCTAGGATCACTGCTTCTAGGTGGGCCTTGTCTCAAAAGATCACTTGTAGGGCCAGGGATATAGCTTAGCAATACAGCGCCTGCCTGGCAAGCCCAAAATATCCTGAGTTCAATTACCGGTAGCAAAAAAAAAAAAAATCACATGTAATATGCCCAGCAAATATTTGTCAGGGAAACTAAAAGAGGAGGAAATGTAACAGAAAATGGCCTCCCCCAGCCAGTATACTTCAATTTCTTAGTTACTAAGGTAATAATTCTGTTCCAGTTCTGCTTGCTTCTGTTTCTTAGAAATGACTCGTCACTGTGATGCATAGCTGATCACTGTGATGCATAGCTGGTCACTATGATGCACACTGTATAAACCAATCCCCAACTGACAAGTCATTCTGCCTCTGCACTTCCTGCTTGTTTATCCCATATAAGCCCTAAACCACCAGAGATCAGTGCCTGATATTTTGGGAGTGACCCCAATCAGTGCCCATCAACGTAAATAAATCTGCCTCCAAATCCTGGGTGTCACTTCGGTGTTTCTGCTTGCCATTGTGATACAGTTGAGTTCAACCCTATCAATCCTGATTTTTTTTTTTTTTTTGGCCTGCTTGATCTAATCTTTCCTGATAAGGTGCTGAAGCTTCCAAACAGAATACTTCATCTATTTCTTGCAATTCTATCAGTTTTTGCTTCCTGCATTTTGATGACCTATTTGTAAGCACATACACATTGTTTGCTGTCTTTTTGAAATATTGACCCTGTTATCATTATGTAATGCTCTTTGCATATAGCTCTCTTAAAGTATGGTCTGAAATATAGGTAGTCTTACTTTACTATTAGTACAGTGTATCTTTCTCCATTCCTTTTACTTACGTACATCTTTATATTCAAAGTGGATTTCTATGGACATGTGGTTTGGTCTTATTTTTTTTTTTTTTAGTCTACTTTGACAGTAGTTCCTCCCCACCTAATTTTAACATTGGAGGTTAAATCTGGAGACTTCACACTAAGAGATAGCCCCAGACCTTTTTTTTTCAGACTGGCTCTCACTAAGGGGCTAAATTGCTCCAGGCTGGGCTTGAATTTGTGATCCTCCTGCCTTAGCCTCACATAGTGCTGGGATTACAGGTGTGTGAGACCATGCCTGGTTGACAAGTTTTTTGATGCACGGTGTTCACTGGTGTTCAGTGATCACAGACAGTTGTATTAATATCTGTACTTGTTACTGTTGCCCTTGTTCATTCCTTTTTAAAAAATCTTATTTTTTCTCTTTTTGTAGTTTGAGAATTTGATATGATTTATTTTGTCTCTTAGCATATCAATTACCTGTTTATTTTTTTAATTGCTCTTGAGTTTGCAATGTACATACACAACCATTCCAAGTCCAATGTCAACTATACTTCATGAGTATCCTAACTGAACTTTCTCATCTATATCATTGCTATTTGCTTCACTTATCTGTAAGCATGCATAAGGAATACATGCATAACTGAATATATTATTTCAGCTATTATTTTGAGAAAACTTACCTGTTAGCTCAAATATTAACACAAATAAAAATTTTTATTCCACCTTCATTTATTCATTCTTTTATGCTCTTCATGTAAAATCTTCTGACCTGTATCATTTTCCTTGTTCTGATGAACTTAAAAATAAAAACCTGCTTTGCAGGTATACTGGCCAAAATATTTCTGAAGTTTTGTCTGAGAAAGTCTTTCATTTTTAAAGGCTAATACTGCAACATATACAGTTCTAGGTTAGAGAAAACAACAGTAACACTTTAGTGCCTAGTGTTTCGTTTGTAGAAAGCCTATAACAGTGGAACATGATAAAATTTTTTTCACTTCAAATTCTTGTTCCTTGAATTTTGTGAGGTAACACACATGAACTTCATGAAAAGTTTAAAAAACTGCAATCTTCTTCATAAATGGGTTAAATGTTTCACTTGACTCTATGCTTGTAAGGTTTCAGAGAAGTCGGATGTATTTCTTATCTTTGCTCTCCTACAGGTAAGGTGTTCTGTCTCAAAACTTTTTTAAAAATTTTGCTTAATCATTGCTTTTCTGAAATTTAAATAGGCCTAGTTCTATGTTTTTGTTGCTGGTTTGGCATTTATCCTGCACGGTGTTGTTTGACCTGCCTTAAACTCTGGTTTGGTAGTTAACATTAATTAGGAGAAATTCTCAGCTTGAAACACTGCTTCTGTTAGGAACAGAACACTTGTGTTTCTGGTATCTTACTGTATGTGTATTATACTTGTAGCCAAATCCATTTTTGGATATCTTGAATTTTTTCTTTTTTTCCTCTTTTCAGTTTTCCTTTCTTTTTCAGTTTCACAAATCACCATTTGTGGGCTGGGGATATAGCTCAGTGTCACAGTGCCTGCCTGGCAAGTGCAAGGTCCTTAGTTCAATTCCCTGTACCAAAAACAAACACGATCGTCCAGCTGGGTATTGTGGTGTATGCCTATAATCCCAGCACACTGGAGGCTGAGGCAAGAGGATTGCCCTGAGTTTGAGGCTACCCTGGGCTACACAGTGAGTTCAGGAACAGCCTGGGCAACACAGCGAGACCCTGCTTCAAAAAAAAAATCACTACTGTCATAGCTTCAAATTGAAAGATTATTTCCTTAGCTATGTCCAGTCTAATTAGCCCATCAAAACCATTCTTTTTGCATTACTATTTTTAAACTGTAATACTTATTTTTAGAATTTCTTTTTCTGCCTGGATTATCTAAAAGTTCTTGCAATGTTGTCTATTTTTTCTATTAAACTCCTTAACATATTATAACTTTTAGAAATTCCTGGTCTAAGATTCCAACATCATGGCCATATATGACTAATTCCGATGCTTGTTAGCTCTTTGCAAACTACATTTTAAGGCCTGATAGTATGCCTTGTAATTTTTTTTGTGGGGGTGAGCATAATGTACTGGGTAAAAGGAAGTGTGAGAAGTAGGGGGACAGAAATTACATAGTCCTGATTAGTTCTTAATCTTTGTGGGGTCTGTGCTGTTGACCTGTTAACTACACTAATGTTTCTCAGTCTTACCCTTCTGTCAGGTGGGACAAAGGTTAGTGTGTTCAGTATTTCCCTTATCCCTAATAATTAGGCTAACATTTTAGTGCCTAGTGTTTCATTTTTAGAATGCCTATAAATAACAATGGAACATGATAAAAATTGTACTTATGAGGATATTCCTTACTAAGGACAGAAGGACCTGATGTGTTTAAATGTAGTTTCTTCTCTTTCCACTTAGAGAAAGCATTAAGGTCATTTTTTTTTTTCCTTCAATATTTACTATGAGAACCTGGTGAAACTCCTTGAAGTAGTAAGATTACACAAATAATAAACTTGCTAAAATACGCACTGTGACTCTCCTTTCCCCTGCATGACTGGGTCCTCTTGGAGTTTTTAACTCACAGATTTGTCCACACTAAGCCTCTCAACAGTCTGTGAATCAGGGTTTAATTTTCTTACTGCAGCACTGGCTTCTATGGATGTTTCTGCTTGTTTCTTTTCTGGTAAGCTATGATTCTTGGCATTCACTTGTATTTCCTATTTTGGGAGCAGTATTTAGCACTGTGATACTTTTCTGAGACAGCCAACGTGTTTTGGTTTTTTGCTTGTTCAGATGTTTTGTTTTTAATGCCACATTTTCTTTATTCTAAGGTGAAGGAGGCACCTCAAGAGGCAGAGATGGTATTCAAAGCACGCTGCCCAGCAACTGTGACCTTCCAGGCAAGTGGAGACTCCTGGCGGGAGCAGAAGGAGAAAAGGGCAGCCATGATGGTGGGGCTTCTGATTGGAGTATTTGTGCTGTGCTGGATCCCCTTCTTCGTGACTGAGCTCATTAGCCCCCTCTGTGCCTGCAGCCTACCCCCCATCTGGAAAAGCGTATTCCTGTGGCTTGGCTACTCCAATTCTTTCTTTAACCCCCTGATTTACACAGCTTTTAACAAGAACTACAACAATGCCTTCAAAAGCCTCTTTACCAGGCAGAGATGAAAGGGGCTGGAGATATGAGCAGAGTTGTGGGGAGGAAATGAACTTGTATCTACCAACTTCAGTGATCTGGGAGTCTTCCCTTATAGTTAAGTACTACTGATGTTTTGAAAGTCATGCTGTTAGGCCTGGACTATGGAAGCAGCTGTGCCATACACCTGCTGTCTCATGAAGGACAGCAAAGGTATGGGAAACATGTAACTATGCCCTCTTCCCATATACATAGCAGGCATTGCCAATGGACCACTGTACATCTCCCCACTAAGAAACTCCACCTCAGAATTTTTTCAGGACAACACTTGATAGTTACTGCTAATGGTTAGCATTGATACAAGGGTCAAAGCTGACTTTCTTTCCTTTGTGAAGATCTCCCAGGCCACTCAAAAGACACTTTCCTTTGTGAAAGACCTCCCTTTCCCATTCATTGGTCTCAACTTACTTTCCCCAGCAGCTACACATCCCCTAAATCCTTTTGAGTAATACAGAGTAATATCTCCATTCACAAATGTTTGCTTGCAAACAATATGGTTCACAAACAAAAGCGTTCAGCAAAATTTTGCTTTCACTAGCAAACGCCACACCATGTCACAAACATGACCATAGCCATCTTCCCCGCACAAACACAACCATCTTAGCCTGGGAAACCATCTTCCCCAAAGTTGTATAACAAACAAACCAAGGTACCACGGTATATCTCAGTTTGCAGGAAGATAAGGTTTATGTTTTGTTAACAAACCTGTCTATCTCACACCTACTGAATCAGACTCAAATAAGTAGTCTGGTGATCTATGTGTTACATTTTATAATTTTTTAATCAGTGAGAGAAGCTGCTGAATACTTAGGCTGTTCTTTATTCAGAATAAGCTGGCTTTCCTGGAGGATGACTTGGGCAGCAGCACTTTTAAAAGGTTACCACTTGATTCCAACATGTAGCTAGAGTTGAGAAACTCTGGTTAGGTCTTCGCTATTTTTTCACCACTTGGGAGACCAGACTGAGAACTTTTCCCATTTCTTCACCGTACTGACTTGTACGTGTAATAAAAACACTTTTGAGGTATCCTTGTGAAGGTTCTGAGTCACTGTTATGACATACACACCCAAATGGGGAAAATGATGCCTGTTGTTGGACTCAAAAGTACTATAAGCAAAACCTACAGGTTGTGTTAATAATCTGGGCTGAAAGACAGAAAGTAATCTTCAGCTGTGTTCTCAATAATTGTATCCAACAAAATCTCAGTGGCATGTAGCAGTAAGCATTTGTTTCTTGCTGATATGTCTACAGTCTGTGTGAGATTTCACTGACCTGAGCTGGACTCTTCTGGGCTTGGTTTCAAGCTGCAGGTTAGGTTTAAGCCTGCTTCATGTGTCCATCACACTCCTTGGGCTTATAGGGAATGTTTTACTCAAGAGAGAAGCGTAAGCCACACAGTGTAAGCCAAACAGTTTCAAAACTTAAGGCAAAGCTAGGTGTGGTGGAACATGTCTGTAATCCCAGCTACTTGCGAAGCTGAGCAGAAGACTGAAAGTTCAAGGCCAGCCTGGGAAACTTAGTGAGGTTCCTTGGACCTCCCAGAAAAAGGGCTGGAGGTGGGGGGGCTCAATTAACCAACAAGTTAAGCAAAAACCTAGTGAAGGGATAGGGAAAAAACCCTCTGCTGCCATGACTAAGGTATTTGGTATGATGAGTGGCAAACAATAATTCAGTGTTCAACATTTTAAAATAGAACAGGGAAAAAAATAAACTGTAATACAGAAAGGTAAGTCTTGTCAATATTTTTATCTGGCTTAAAACTGTTTTTTGTTTTGTTTTTTTTAAGACAGGGTCTCACTATGCACTTTAGACTGGCTTTGAGCTCACTTTGTAGCCCCCGTTGGTCTCCAACTTGCAATGATCCTCTTGCCTCTGCCTCCCAAGTGCTGGGATTACAGGTGTGCACCACCACACCTGTCCTACAGTGTTCCTAAATGGGCTCCATGTAGTCTAGACAACACAGCCTCCAGAGGAAACTCACTAAAATGAAGCCAAATCACACTGGTTTTTCTTTTCAAACCTTCCATAGCCTTCCCACCGTTCTGTTTACAGTTCCCAAAAACGACATGGGTATAACGCAGGACCATTACACTTGGTATTCCCTCTGCCTGGTATTTTCTTTACTAGGTTTCTATGGCACTTAATCCCTTGACTAGTCAGTGACTAAGGCCCTCTCTAGCTGCTCAATATAAAATTTCAACTACAGTGGCACCTCAGTTCAAAAATTTAATTCTTTCCACAATTCTGGTCACAAACTCAATTGGATGAGAACCAAATCAATTCAATGGTCAGGTTCAGTGTTGACCTTTGTTATGGTTTGTGTCTAGATGTCCCCCCAAAGCCTCATGCAGTCATGGGGCAGGTTTCTAGAGTTTGTGAATGATTCATGGTCCACTGCTGGGATTCTGGGTGTGAGTGCTATACCCACCATGGGGTGGGTAGCCTGCATAAAATGTAAGGGAGGGAAAGAGGCTTCTCTCTGCTGCTGCTCCCTTTTCGTTCTTGCTGTTTTTGCTATCTTCCACCACCATGAACTGTTGCCCTCTGCCACGTGCCATTCTGCTTTGGAGCCAGCCAAGTATAGACTGAAACCTCCACAAATTGTGACCTAAATAAACCTTCCCTTCCTTAATTTTGGGCATCAGATGTTTTATCTCAGTAAAAGAAAGAAAAGTAACCAAGACAACCTTATAGGGAAATCTGACTTGACTGATGAAGGGGAAACTCAAGTATTTCTTGTTTGAATGTGCCAGTTAACAGAATTTTCTCATGGATCAAGAACACAAGGCAAGTGGTCCTCTGGTTGGTTCGGAAGCTCATCATGCCTTCATAGAAACAGGCTCTTTCCATCTTTTTGCTCTTCTAAGCTGTGTCAGAATGTCTCTTCTCATGGTCTCAGGATAAAGCTGCTCATACTTTGTCTTTTTTTTCCATTAACTTGAACAAACAGGAAGGGCAGGCAGCAGCTCTCCTGATGCACAATGTGCTGATCGCCAGCAAGAAGACTCCTTCCTCTACAGCTTAGCAGTTTTCCCCCTACTGGCCATAACTGGGTTAGATGCCCATCTGTAAATCAACTCTTGGCAAGCAGAAATGGGCATTTCTATCACCACCTGACAGAACAGTTTCAAACACCTGTTGTGATTCCTCATCTGGGACTATGCAAAACTGGAGTTCTGCAGGTCAGGAAAGAGGAATAGGAAGGACCATCATAGACAATTTCCACAGCAGATTGGCCTGGCTTTTGGAGGATGTTAATAGCTCTCCTTGGACTCACAGGTATCATCTCCAGTGTTTGTACACCAATAAGGAATAATGGTTATCCTGTTGACTTTTTTCATGAGATGCAGGCAACCCTGCAGCAGCTGTAGTCTGTTCCTATGTCACAGCCACTTCATAGTCCATTCCTCTGTTCCCATTTCTTTCCCTGCCACCCAAACACACATAGTGGATAGAGCTAGCCACTTGGTATTTGACTTGCTCAAGCGTCTTGCCCCAGGAGAGGACAGCCACTTTCGTACTGGTCCACTGCTGCCAAAATGAAAACAAATGAATTTAACTGCTTTAACTCAAGAGCTTTATCTTCCTTAACAAAGCACATTTATGGAGCCAGGATCATCCTCCTTTGTTTTTGAAAACTAAATCAAAATTTACAAACCATTTATTTTCAAATAGACAATATATGTACATGGTACAAAATTCAAAAGGTATAAAAGGTATACAATGAAAAGGTATTTCTACTCTTTGCAGAGGGAACCAAAGTAGCCAGGCTGCTGTGTAACCTCCCAGACATATAAGTATATACCAGCAGACATCTGCCATAAATGTGTGCATGGGTACATACACATACATACACACACACTTTCCTCCATTCCAAACACTACTATACCACGTGCCACACCCTCCCCAGTCATGCATAGTAGTTCACACAGATTAGCTCTGTTCTTCTAATAAACAAAATACCCCCATTAGGGGAACTAGCCATAATTTATTTCACTATTGCTCTATATTTGTGGTAGTTTCCAAGTTTTTGCTATTACAATGCTTTAATAAAAATCCTTGTAAATAGGAAAAATTCTTAGATGTAGCACTGCTGGTTCAAAAAATTGTGTGTATGCACTTGTGAAATATGTTGTCCAAGGAGCTGTATAATTTGTACTTCTGCCAAGGCCGTGTTCAAGTGCTGCTTCCCACAGCATTTCACTTCTTGGTTTCATGAGGCTGAGACATTTTCTGCCGGGCAAACTACCTTTAGAGTCATGGAATATTTGGAACCAAAACATACCATAATCTTACCTGACATTAGTGTACACCATTCCTCTTTTTTCCCTCATACCTTAGGAGAAAAAAACACCTACTAAAGGTAATTCCTTTGAAAGGTTTCAAACTTCTGACCTTTTTTCATCCTAACCTTCAAGGTTAAAGAATAACAAATATAGTGAGACAGTTCCCTGGCTGATGAACAGAACAGTCAACCTATTTCAAACTAAGCATAAAATTATAGGAAAGGTTAAATCTAATTTTTGCTAATACAAGGATGCAAAGCTACAATTTATGCAAGCAACATTTCCTGATCATCCACCCGAGCCAGATGCTGGGCAGAGCATGGCAAAACAGGCAAGGTCCTTGTTTTGTGTTTCTGTCTTTACATTCCAGAAGACAAGCCAGGCAACAGACCTGGCAAAGGACTAACAGACATTTAAGCAGTGGTATGTGCTATAAAGACAGACAGCAGGGGGGCTGGGGATTTAGCTCAGTGGCAAAAGCGCCTGCCTGGCAAGCGCAAGGTCATGAGTTCGGTTCCCGGTACCAGAGAAAAACCAAAAAACCCAAAAAAATAAAAAAAAAAGACAGCAGGAGATGGGCAGAGCAAAATCATGGAGGAAGGCCAACAATAAATGGGTCTGTATGTGTATTAGGGAGTCAGGGAAGGCCAGTGCCCAAGATCTTGGAGGAGAAAGCTGTAGGCAGAAGGAACAGTAGGCCAACAGCCTGAAGACCTGAGCTTGGCCCCCTGGCTGATGCAGGGGAATCTGAAAATTCCCCATGTTTTCAAATATGCTGTGGATCAGCTATTAAATCCTTATTAATAACCTTACACAATATATTTACTGTGAAGAGAGGCAAGATATTCTTTTATGTAGTACTTCAGCCTATTGCCATGTGCTATGAAAAGGTCTGCTCTAAAGTGAGTGTAGAAGAACAAGAGAGGGCATGGGGGATTCTGCAGGCGGATAAAACAAGGCATTTCCCCTGGCAATGCCCCACCACAGGAATAGATGGCACCCACCCTATTGGGATGTTCACTGTACATTCTGTATTATGTTCTTTTACCTTGTGGTCAACACTGGCCATGAATAAGTAATAAAGAACTTCCTTAATGTGTTCTACCTCAAGGCATGTTTCAGTCCAACAATATGTACTTCACAAGAACTGCTGAACTCAGCCAAAGTAATCAATAAAAGTTATTGCTAGAATGCCTATTTCCCTCTTAAAACGATCATTAGTCACTAGAAAGACAGGTAAGACAAGACCATGCTGAGCAGCAGCAATCTAGGTGGCATAGGTTGTTCCAAGTGCTCTTTCAGCCAGGTTGGCTTTAGTCAACACAGATGTGTTCAGGACCTGCCAACGTGACAACACCGAAGTCACAGAGCAGCACCTTGTCAGACAGTAAAGTGCTGTCTGATGGCCTTCCCCATCCCCTACTCAGTGTGTCAGGAGGTTGCAGGGGCTGTGGGACTATTTATGAGGGACTATTTCTTCAGCCTAGGGAGGGAAAGACCTCCAACCTGTAGTTGGTTCTCCTGTCTCCTAATTTGGGCCTACAGGGCCTGGCTAATCTCAAAATATGGGCTATGAACCATAACCTAGTTAAAACTATGCATATGTCAGATTCCAACAAAAGCTTATGTCTGACAAACTTGGAATTTACTCTGTTATAAGAAAGGATACTCCTCACTCTTGTGGGACTCTGTGACTGTTTTCTAACATAAGGTACATGTACCTCCCTCTAATGCTGCTGGCTATCCTGGTATCTACAGGGACTGGACAGAGGCCAAGGACAAATGTCCCAGGTATCTCCACAGACATGTTGCTTTTTGGATTACATCAAAGAAGCCTTGTGTACTCTATGAGATGCACGTGAGAAGGAGATATGCAGGGCACCAGGCAACCAGCCTCACTAGCGGCTCAGTGTTCTGATAACTGCTTTCTCCTGAAGCACACATTCATAAACAATAACTTAAGGATGTTTTCTCTGTTATACTCCTGGAAAAGCCTGTGAGTTCAGCAAAATACAATGATGTGACATCTCTGGGCTCAGAGAGAGATACAGCCCTAGGAGGACCCCTGCCCCTACCATCATGAGTGGCTACTGAAATGACCAAGGTCCTCAGTGCACTGTTTTAGCCTTTCTGGCCTGAATGCACTGTCTGCCTAATCACTCACACCAGTGTCCGTGCTGCAGGCTGTCGGCAGCAACCATGGAATTCTCAAGAATGGCGGCTGCAGTCTAATTCAAAGTATGCTCAAGCAATGAAGACTAATTTATCATCTGTATTAGGTCTTGTAAACCAAAAAAAGGGCCAAAGCATCTGTCAATACTTCTCTATACCAAAATAAAGGGTTCTACTTTTAAAAGCATTATTAGTTGCTTTGATCAGTCATGCCATACTTTCCCCCATTATAGACAGGTAGATTCTAGTAACTCCAGAGTATCACCTGTTCCTGTTTGCCTAAGACCTGTGGACAAACACTCAAGTGATCTCTCAATTGCCCACCAAGTCTAGTTAGCCAGGCATGAGGGATCTGTAGGCTTCTTTACATGGTTAACACAGATGTTTCTCTGAAATTGCAATAATTGTAAACACAGTCAAATTGCTGCTGTCTCTTACCTCCAAAATGCCACTTTAAAAAAAAAAAAAATTTCACTTTCATTGAGCCTTTTCAGAATTTCCACATGAACACGGCTCAGGCAGCAGAGATGGATATGCACAAGGCCAGGCAATGCTCAGCACAGGGAGGTGCCATCTCAGATGCTGCTGCTCTCATAGCATCTTGCTGGCTTTGGCACAGAAAACAATGGTGGTGTTAAGGCAGAGTGGGATGTTCGTAAGTCTGAACCTTTTAGCCCTTCTTAATCACATACATTAGGGAACTAAAAATAGTGTTTCTGTGACTGTGCTGAATGTCCCACCTGCCTAATGTGTTCAAACTTATGTGTTATAGTCCAATCCTGCTGACTGGGGAGTGTATGTGTGCCAGGTTTACATAAAATGCAGTAAAACCTCACAGTGGGGTACGGGGACCAAGACTGAACTGCCGATTCCTAAGAGCCAGGGCAGGACCTCTGTGTTTTCCTTGGACTACTCATTCACAAGGACAAAACTCCTCAGCTACACTTTGAGGCCTTCCCAGTTCGTCTTTCCAGCTTCCTACACACTCCAGATCATCCCCTCCTCTCCCAATATGAATGTTCTCTACTGTCCTACAACTCTTGAGTTTCAATCAGTGTATCTTTATCAAAACCTATTTCCTGTCTCTGCAGAACATCCTATCGCCTCTTCAGATCTAACCCAAATATTAGCTGCTCTTCCATGAAGACTTCTGTACTTCTACACCACAGTACCTGGCACTGTCTTTCAATGTGCCCGCCCTGACAGCAGTATGGTGCATGTCTTTCTCCCTGATCAGACCATGAGCTTCTCTGCAGTGTAGAACACTGAATCCCTTCAAGAAAGGGATTAGAAAGCCCATCCACATGTTGCCTGTAACTCAAATGACAAGTAGGACACAGAAAGGTTTAATTGTTTTTAAAACATCCTCAGTATGAGGCCTATTTTCAACTTTTTTTGGTGAAATGAACCTAAGGAGTATATAAGGATTAAACCAATGAAACTGAGCTTTGATGTGAGTTACTATGTATGTCATTCAAGCCTGCTAGCTGGTACCTCCAGAAGCCAGGAACAAAAGGCACCAGGGCAGGTAAAGTATCACTCACATTGGCATACCATTCACCCAGAGCCTTCTGTTTACTGAAACAAAACAAAGCAAACCTCGGATGGCCAAGCTCTATTGTCCAGTGGGCTATATCTGCTCCCTAGGCCACTTGCTGAATGAGTAAAAGTGTGATTTACGTTCTGATGAATCCCCCTCTGTGTTATTTCTCAGCGGTTGCTCCATTAATATTTGCTAGACAAAAGAATTCTTTATTCAGAGTCTGTACAAATACAGGTACCTTCAAAAGTGCAATGTTACTGGAGAGAGAAAAGTTGAGTGGACATAGAGAAAAAGTACTCCCCTCTTTTCCTCACAGTATAGTAGGGTGTTATCCAAGCCAGTGTTTACATTTTCTGATTCCATCAACAGCTAGCAGAGATGAAATGGTAGCAAATGGAAGACAGAAAACATCCAAGGAGTTGAAATTAATGCACCTGCACCCCTCTACTGTTGCTTTCAGAACCATTCCATGTCTTGTAGTTGATACACAATATTTAAAAAAAATTCAGTGACATACAAAAATGGCTGGGAATGATCAGGAAGCCTTTGCTTTCACCTTGGACAGCAGTAGCTCATTCTTGCGGCCCTCCTAAGGGGAAAAACAGAGAGGGTGTTGAAAAGAGGTGGTAATGACATTAGCACCCATGCAGGGCCCAGATGGTCTGTTTTTCCCCCAAGTCCCATACGAGACGCCTTGTGACCAACTAACCCATATTCCTAGCATGGTAAAATGAACCGAACCACACACCAGCATGATGAAACTTCCCAATAACCTATTGACCTACATACAAAGCCAAAGCAGGTATAATGAAGCTCACTTTCTAGGCTGTAAGACTAAAGACAGGATGAGAAGATTAGGCGCTGTCATTCCAAAAGACTCTGAAGTTTCTAAAATCTTCAGTGGGTCAGAAGCAGAAAAGCAGACACCTATCCACCAGTCCTTGTGAGAAATTAGAAGGAATCTTGGAGACATGACCCTAAGGGAGTAAGATAGGTGGTCCTAGTGTACATGTAGGGGGGAAAAAAGCCCCTCCATACATACATACTCTAACAACAGTAAAAGCTAGGACTACCCTCAGCTTTAACAAAGAATTTCACAGGAAACAGAATGAGAGGTATTTCTCAGGGACACCCCACATCTCATGAGATGCACGAAATCTGTAACTGCACATGTACAGGGATATCACTGAAGGAAGATGCTGGCCTCATCCTTTCCTGTGAAATCCAGCATCCTGTGGAACAAGTCATCTGTCTTAGTTACTTTTCTCATTTATGAGACAAAATACCCGACACACAAAGTTAAAGGAGGAAAGGTTTATTTTGGCTCAGTTTGTAGATGTTTCAGTCCATAGCTGGGTGGCTCCAAGGCAGGGTGGCATGGCAGACAGGCATTGCAGAGGAGAAGGAGTTCATGGTGGGCACAAGGTAGCAAAGCAACAAAGTAGTGGAGAAGCAAGTGCATGAGACCTTAGCTTCTTTCTTCCTCTTCTATACTCGATCTAGGCTATTGAGTTTAGACCTGGTGCCAAATCAATTAGTGGACTCTTTTTCTAATCATTTTTTTTT